AAGGGCTCCCGAGGGGGTACTCCCAGAAAAATTGGTTGGGGGTGTGCGGCCCGCTTCCCAAAACCTTTACCCTATTTATGACCAAAATCTGCGATATTTATGACCTGACCAAAAATTCGAAACCCTATTTATGACCTGAGCCTTAAATCAAAACCCTGTTTCAGACCTGCATTATGATTAGTTCCCTAGTTCAGACCAATGTTAAATTTCCGTAAACATAATTTGTGAAGGGCTTTTGTTCATTTCCTCTTCGATAATAATGAAAAAGTGGCTTGTTCTCACAAACATACCCATATCAAGGCTAGAGTGCAAAAACCATACCCTATTTATGACCAAAATGGCCAAAATCAGCTAAAATCGATACCCTATTTATGACCAATGCCGCTGAAAAACCATACCCTTTGGGGCCGCACATACCTGTATAGCCCATATAAGGGAGTACCTCCCCCCCCAACCGGGATATTTGCTCTTCTGTATTTCCTTATCGCAACTGAATAGGCCCTTTGCACAATCCGGTCACATGGTACGGAATTAATTATGCTGGGACGCAAGTTACACAGTAGGACTTCCAAAACAAAGGAACTCGCACCAGTCCAGCCCGACTTTCGTTTGTTTTGAAAGTCCCACTGTGTAACTTGCGTCCCAGCATAATTAATTCCGTACCATGTGACCGGATCGTGCAAAGGGCCTATTAGTTCCGCACTTTACTTGAAATTGTAAACTTATTGTAATCTAAAGGAAATGTCATAAGATAACAATGTATGAATTTTAAATGTAGAGTAATTATAAATTCATAAATGTTGACATAGAAAGGAACTTCTCTTTAACTCTTAAGATCACTTATTGTCCAGTATTTCGTTTAATATCGATAATTTATTCATATTACCTGTTCTCAGATGCGAAGTAGCTTATTTTCAATTAACACCATTATTTACCCATATCGTGAGCAATTTCCTTGAACTTAACTTGAACGAAAGATCTAAACGTTTAACATGCAACTTCCTTTACGGATGTTGGTATTGATAAGACTTGTTATTGATAAGACAAGTTCACCTGAAATTATTATCGAACCGTAAGCATATATAAGCAAGCACATACTGTACACTATTTGATTTATCTTGATCTACCTTGATTTATCCTGAGTTACCTTCGACCTATGTACTACGAGGTTTAATCTACAATAAAGAAGACAAGAGAGTTCCAGATCGGTGAGAGTCCTTGCTGATTTACTGTCCGACTCACGAGAGACAACGACCTTGTACCTTTGGCATTGAGTAGCGAGTGCTGTGCAGCGAGCCGGTACTCTTCCGAGCTTTCCTCAAGACAAGTCCGTGCGACGTTATCCCTGTATTCAACAGCACCCAAGCTGATAAACCATATCCGTCCTTAATCGCGCAGTTCCGCACGGAAAACCTTTCGTTACAGTTTTTTTATGATTTCTTAACAACACTTAGCTGTAGTTTATCCGTAGCTGTAAAAATGCGATTCGTTGGAATTCTGGTGAGCGATAACAAAGTTATCTTGCCCAATCTCATGGACTGATATGTTTCTGTTTAGTCCGTTAATTTTTAAAAAGTTCTCTACATCTTTTTCTTTTCCAGAAGGAACATACTGTGCATTTTCAAGCTGGTGTATGGAGTCGGTCTTCAAGCTCTTAGGGAGCTGTTTAAACAAATCCATCCCTCCTGGTCGAATACGCCGGGTGATGCAGCTGCCCTCGATAAAGGAAACATGTATATCGGTAGAGAGGAAGAAGCATGTTTCAGGAGAGGAAACATAGAAGAATGGGACTTTTCATTGATGACATCTGTTCTTCTGTTTTCTACAAAATGTGCTCTGGAGATCAGCAGGAGACCCGGCTATGACATTGCCCTCCACGAATTAAAGAAGTGCCGTAACAAGTTGCTGGGACATCCTTCCACAGACAGGATGTCTGATGCCGATTTCAACCATTACTGGCCTCTGCTGTCCAAGAACTTCATTACACTTGGGGCTGATTCTTATGTTATTGCAGCGCTCAAGCTCAAATCAGGTAACCACAAAATATGATATATATAACATGAGATGTCGCTCCAAAGCAATATAATCCATCACCGAGGAAACGATTTTCGTTTTATTAACTGAGAGCGTATTGTGTATTTGTGGATATTTCAAATTAATATTTTTTGTCGCTGACGCTGAATCGTAACCTTTTTCCAAACTCAGAATATGTGGGGAAACCTGTTTATATCGAACATGCGGCGTACGAACAAATCATCATCATCATCATCATCTTCATGATGCGCGCTTGAGGTGTAGAACATGTACATCATATGGACAAAATTGTCTATGGCACGGACTCAAAAGTTGCTGGTGAATGCACGAGCGGAACACTGGTGCGTTCAACAGATTTTCTAGACTTGAAAGGTGTATCATTTGCTTAGAAAACATACTAGGAACACCTATATAGTGGGTTTAGATCATAGCACGAGAAAGCGAAAATATTTACATCTGAGAAGGGGTGATGATTGCGTTGGCAACACATCTTGTGGATGTATTATTCTTTTATCTATTTTCTTTCTTCAGAGGAAGAGCTCGTTGCTGCAGAACACTACAAACAGCTCTTTATGGCAGAACGAGATAGACACTATCGATGTGAAAAGAAGCTAGAATCGATAGAGAGAAAATTGGATTCGTTCATTGCCAGTCAATCAACTGATGGGGCCTCCAAAACGCCTGCTGGCGCAGAAGATCTCAGTGGTCCCAAGTGGGACGAATGGTTGAAGTTTCGTCATGCGGTTGGTGATTTCGACACCCAGAAGAATCAGTATATTCTTGTCACGGATGCCATGCGGAATGAGGAGCTAGAGTGCTATTCCAGTTTAAGAGGCGTCCCTTGGAAGATGATCTTAGATTTCGATCCCAAGTCTGAAGAGAACGGATTTTATCGAGAGTTCATTTCAAAAGAAGGTAAAATGAGTAATCTAGCAAGCATGTTTACACCAGCAGAATTAAAACAGTGTACGATGAAAAGTTTGTTACGACAGATCGATCCCCAAAAAATCCAGTGGTTGTTTGTTAATGGACGAGCTGGTGATAACGGCGGTGGTCGTAAGGAGTTTTCAGAATGGGAAGCCTCCTCAGTGAAAGACATCAACAGTTTGTTTCGATGTTGCTCGGACCCAGACACATTTGACGAGTTGAAGCCCGTAGTATGTCTAATTCTTCCCTTCACTGACCACAGCAGACCCTATTTGCAAGTTACATTGAGTCGTCTAATCGAAAACTTTGACAAACATGACGTGACATTTGTGTCTGTCAATAACAAGAATTGGACCAGCAGACCGGACAAATTCAATGTTCACGATTTTGAGTTGTGCCCAAAGATTCTTAACCTGGGATTAAAAGACGTGCTTGGTACGTCGACGGATCGGAAGCTTCGTATGCCAACTTCCCATGCTGGAGTCCCAGTTTACCTCAGTCCAAGACAGTACCTTTACATCAAGGAATACTTAGAAGTTCTGTACATAGGATGTGAAGATCTACCAGAAGACAAGATTAACTCTTCTGAGACTCAGGAGCACCAGGAGACATACTTAGAGGAGCAGAGAAAGTCATTCTTGTCCGGAAATGAAATTTCGTTTGCCAGTCTCTTTGATAATCATGATGCTAGAAGAGAAATCGAGAGAGACATCCAGATTCACGTTCAACGGCTCCTTAACCAAGGCTCAGCTCGGCCGACCATTGTAGAAATTAGACATTCTCCAGGCGCTGGTGGCACAACAATTGCCCGCCGTGTACTGTGGGATCTGCACAAGGAATACCCATGCGGGTTAATCGACATCAGCTCTCAACACTACTCGGATGAAGACAACGTCTTTGCAAATGCACTTGCAGAGCGAATATCCTCGATTGAAGAAATCTGCAACACAATTCCATTAGTTCTGATCGATGGAAAACAGTCTGGTGCTATAGAGGGCCTCTCAAACAAACTTGCACGAATTCTTCAAAGCTGGGGAAAACGAGCCCTTTTATTGCGTTGTCTCCGAGGATCAAAAGCCTCTTCAAAAGGAGTGCAGGAAAAGGAGTCGTCCCACGTGCACAAAGTGTTTCATGTCAATGTTAAATTGGAAGAATCGGTCACAGATCTGAACGAGTTCAAGTCGAAGTACAAAGAGTACCTGGTCACCATTGACGGGCCGCTAGTCAAGAGACAAGTCCTATCTGGCCTATGTCGTGTATTCCATTTCCCCCTTCTTTCGATGATGGAAGAGTTTCGTCCTAAACTTGAGAAGATAATCGAAGACACCTTCAACGAAATGGGCGGAATTCAACAAGAAATCGCTGCCGTTGTGGCCTTCTTACAAAAGTATGCAAATCTTCCGACCCCAGCAATTCTTCTGCATGAAGCTTTCAAGCAGTTCACGCGGGTCCTGCCAGATGACAAAAAGAGTGCTACCTACGATGATATTACGCAGCTTTTCTCTGAATACCTCATGAATTTAATGATACCTGCAAAGCCAACACCTTCTGGAAACCAAAAGCCACCAGAAAGTTACACGTTTCAGCATCCATTAGTCGCAGACTTGGTGCTTAAGAGGGTGTATCGAGAGCAGAAGCGTGACCTTTTTGGAATAGTGGACCGATTTCTTCAGTTTCCCATCTATCAACACGAAACGCTTCTACCTGTCTTTAACGAACTGTTCATCTACAACAAGATCAAGACAGGACACATCGAGAAGTTCAAATTCTCCATTCTGTTTGAAGAGCTGAAGAATACTGACTCAAATCGTGCGGCCGAAATCTTTTGTAAAGTGGCTGAGAAGACAAATGACTCGGTGACGTTCGCCAATGCAGCACGATTTTGCGCCAAGAAGGAACCTCCTTCGTTTCCAAAAGCAAAGGAACTTATTCAACGTGCCTTGCAAGTTCATGGATCTTCGCCTTCAAAAGGTGGATACAAAAATTTGTGTCACACTAAAGGTGT